CGGGGTCCCCCTGGCGCCGGGAAGCGCCGGGCGGAGGACGCGCGGAACGTGCCGGGGCCGCGCCGGCTCGCAGCCCCGGGCTCCCGGAGGCTTCGAACTCAGGCGGCGGGGAGCCCAGGGGGTGGGGGTGAGGCCCGCGACGCGGGAAGAGGGCGTGGTTTCTGTAAAGGTCGCTATGCAACGGGCTTCCCCCCACCCCGCTGTCGGGGTGCTCAGTCCGCGCATCCGGGGGGGCGCCGGCCGGTCCCTCCGGACCCGCCACTGTGAGCCAGCGCATTGGGGCGAACACGGGGAGGGGTGTCAGCGGGCCGCTGTGTTATGCCAGCCGGAGCCCAGCAATGTCCGGCCTCCGTTCGGGCCTCGGGACGGCGGGAGCTTGCACTCGGCCCGCTGGTTGGTTTCCGAGGCGCCTTGGGCTCTGACCGCCCTGGTCCGGAGCGAGCGCGGATCTAGGGAGCCGCGCCCCGCGCCCCGCGGCCCACAAGGGCGCGAGTGTGTGTAAGTGTGTGGGGGGGTTTCCGGGAGTATGTCACCAAGTGACAGGGTGCGAAGCTCGCGGGTGTCACGCCCCTGCTCCCTAGACCCCTCCCCACTGGACTCTGGTCTGTGAAGTGGGACGAACACGCACACACATACCGGCCACGCTGTTATACACAGACATGGGCACCCACCGGGCACGCATCGCCCTGGGCAGGGCCAGACTACGCAGTAAACTGGGTACCCATTGCCATCAAGTGATTCTGACTCACAGGGCCCCTAAAGGACAGAGTAGAACTGCCCCATAGCGTTTCTAAGGTTGTCAACCGCCACGAAAGCAGACTGGCCTCATCGGTCTCCCGCGGAGCACCTGGTGGTTTCGAACTGCGGACCTTTCGGTTAGCAGCCAAGTACTCAACCACTGAGCCAACAACAAACCCAAACCAAACTCACTGCCATCCAGTCGGATCCGACTCATAGCGACCCCTCCCTTGGGTTTCCCAGGCGGTATCACTAGGGAAGTAGATTGCCCAACCGGGAACCCTTTAACAATCAAGGTAAGCACACGCTTATTTGTGCTTGTTTACTAATCTGTAGTGAACAATTTCACACGGCTTTGGCCACAGCAAAGTGAAGCTGTTCACTACCGATCAGTAAGTAAGCACAAGTGAGCCGTGCTTACCTTGCTGATCGGGTAACCCGACACCGGACCGGGGCGCAGAGGCGCTGGCGAGCCTCTCCAAGAGGAGCAGGCGCTTCCGGCTCTCTCCCCAGGGGCCAGGACGCTGTCTGCCGGCCCGGAGCTGGGAGTGGCGCCCGGAGCGCGGGCTCTCGAGAAAGTGCCCGGACCCAGCTGCTCAGGCCTTTCCAGCCCCTACACGGGCATCCCGCGCCCGCTCTCGGGACTGTCGCCGCGCCGCGCCGCCCGCGGGTCCGAATGCTCCGAGTCCACGCGGTCCCGCCAACGCCTCCGGCTCGGCCCTGCGCCCGACATCCCCCGGCAAGTGAGCGCAGCCGGATTCTGTCCGCCAGTCGCCGAGGCCCCCACTCACCCGCCACCCGGAGCCCCGTCGGGGGTCTGGGG